GCCGGGTCAGTGGCAGCCACCAGTGACCCGGACACAGCACGTGCCCCTCGCGGGGGCTTTCCCTAGGCTGTTTACTCTTTTATTTGTCCCATTTCATAACCCGCAGCTCCTCCGGCCCGTCTGGGAGCGTAGTTTGAAACAAAACCAAACCAAACCAAACCCACGAAAAAACAAACCGGCAGAAAACCCAGAAAGAAAGAAAAGACCCGCTCAAGGCAGGACGAGGCAGTTTTCGGAGGTATTTATTCCATATGCAGAGCAGAAGGAGCACTGCCGGCACGTGACAGAGGCTTGAAAAGGATGTGCATTTAAAAGGGAATAAAAAGAAAATCGCGCTTGCAAATTCCTTCCTCCTCCCCCTGCCCTCTCCTCCTCACCGCGGCTGCACAGCAGCATTGTTTTAGTGCCGCACGGAGTTTCAGTCCCAGCCCATTTTGCAATCCGCACGAATTGGGAACATTTGCTGTTAGCGAAGTCTTTCGAAATTTCCTCATTTTGCTGCTTCTATTAACAAATGTCTTTCCTTCACTAAAATAAGTCAGCAGAGTTCCAAAAAAAGTGAGCAAATTACGTAAAATACAAGGGCACATAGAGTAGGAGGTCCCTACAGAGTTTTAAAAATCGATCAGTCTGGAAAAGTTATAGGTGCCGTCTCTCCTGCAAGCATTTCAGGGGAAAGTACACTGTCCTTAAACAACACGAGTGGAGTGGGTTTTGTGGGGTTCCACCCCCCCCCCCCTTTTTTTTTTACTAGTATCCCTGTTATTTGTGGAGTCAAGCCAAGAACGTTAGTCCAAGCAACTCCCCCTTTTTTAGCTGGAGAGTTTTGGTTGGGATGAGCCTCTCGTGAATAACCAATGTGACTTCTCCAGCAACTCAATACCAATTGACTGTGGTGCTAATCCAGCCAGGGCTCGATCCTGCCTCCTTACTCCGATGGGAATGTACCGCAGCGAGGGGTCAGGATCGGCCAGCCGAGATGTCGCTGGGCGCGGGGGAAGATACCCCCTTCCCCCCCTCCCCCCTAAAAATCATTGAACAAACAACGCCCTTAAAAAAAAAAAAAAGTTTTGCGCCTTAGGTTGCCTACATCTACCTTAGATGAATTTATGCTCTAGATCAGTAGTGGGGAAGAAAAAAAAAAGGAAAAAAATTATAAAACAAGCAATGGTAAGACATCCAGGTTGTCGTTGGAATACGGTCAAGATAAGGGAAAAAAGCCCCAAAACTAAAAATCAGTATTCCCTTGTGTCGAAAGAGGGCTCTTAAGAGTTGTCAGTATCAGGTACGGGTTTGGTTTGTTCGCATGGGGAAAAAAAAACCCCAAACCCAACTTATTTAAGCATACTCTTCAGTGCAGGAGAATTTACAATACTAATATTTATTCACACCCCCCCCCAAAAAAAAGGAGAGGAGGAAATCCCAATATTAAAGGAATGTCCGGAAAATGACCACTTACTGGTTTCTAAAAATGTCAGCTGTAATCGTGGGGCTCCCCATCACCACCTCTCCTTCCGTCAGGCAGGCGAGATAAAAATCTGAGCTAAATTACCAACAAACTTTGAGCACTCATTCGGGAGCCGAGACTGGGAAAGTTCCCTCGCGATGCTGCTCTTCATTCATGCTGCGTAATAACAATAAATACCAAGAAACATCCTCATCTGTCCTCCGTGCCTAAGCAGAGGAGTGCGAAGGTCCGATCAAAAAGGGATCTAAATGACACCTCTGCGCCTCGGTACAAAGCAAGCCCATGCCCACAGTTAACTTCTGTCCTGTTGGACCTTGGAGAGAGGCGTTCAACGCCGCAGCAAACTAAACCGTGCCCCGAAAGACAGAAAACGGTAGTAATCATAAAGAAACGTATCTGCGAATAAACAATCTGGTCTTACCCTGCACCGCATGATCTTCCATGAAGTGGCAGAGGAACATCAGGAGTAAGAGCATGCCCGGGTGGATTCTCTGATTTAACATCCTCAGCGTAGCAGGGAGTGAGCGAGGCACAGGAGCGGCGTGAGGGGGAGTAGGGAGCGGGAGCGAGCACTCGCCAGCCTGCTTATGATCGCTCTATTGAATGAACGTCAGGCTCTGAATGCAGTCTCTCTTTAAATCTATACGGGGGTCTTAGCTGTCTGCGGTGGGCGGTCTCCTAATGTGTGTGTGTGTCTCTGCTCGGGGGTGGGGAGATTTAAAAAGTTCAGTGTGAATCAGGTGACATTTTCCACCTTCTGGAAACCCTCTCCAATTATCTGCTCTAGGTGCGC